TCCTTATCACTTGGCACTAGTTTGGAAGCACTCATTTCTATCAAATTGTCTTCTGCTAACTCTTGGGTTTAGTGTCTATTAGCCATTTTTTTTTTTTTTTTTTTTTTTTTCAGAGTTTTTTTTTGTTTGATAGGCTGGAGTGCAGTGCTGGGATTACAGGTGTCAGCCACTGCGCCTGGCCCTAACTTTTTTTTTTTTTTTTTTTTTTTTTGGAGACAGAGTTTTCCTCTGTCGGCCAGCCTGGAATCGTGCAGCGGCACAATCTCGGCTCACTGTAACCTCCACCTCCCAAGAGAAGGTGGCATGTGGGATTACAGGTGCGTGCCACCACACCCAGCCAATTTTTTTAAGTTTTTGGTAGAGATGGGGGGGGGGGGGTCTCATCATGTTGGCCAGGTTGGTCTCGAACTCCTGACCTCAAGTGATCCATCTGCCTGGGCTTCCCAAAGTGTTGGGATTACAGGTGTGAGCCACCGCGTCCAGTCATGTCTGCTAGCTCTTGAATGTCTCCAAGCACCGTATCTTGAAATTACTTCGCTCCCTATCTTTTTTGCCATACCCACAATCTCGTTCATGATTTCCTTGACTGGCTCTGCTGTCAATCTTAAGTCATGCACAACATCTGGACACAGTTTCCTCCAGCAGGAATTTATTGTTTTGGGCTTGATGGCCTTCAGAGCTTTTTCTATAACAATGATGGCATCTTCAATGGTGTAATCCTTCCAGACTTCTATGATGTTCTTTCTACTGGGGTTCTCTTCCATAGCAATGACAATCCTTTCCATAGATTAGCTTATGTAATGAGCCTGTAAAGGTCTGTATGAACTCCTGATTTGGAGGCTGAATTCGAGGCACTGTGTTTGGGGGCAAGTATACCACTTTGACACCTTTAGTATTGAACTTACGGGGTTCTGGGTGGCCAGGGGCATTGCCCAACATTAAAAGAATTTTAAAGGCAGTCCCTTACTAGCAAGGTACTTTCTGACTTCAGGCACAAAGCATCAGTGAAACCAATCCAGAAAAAAAGGTTCTCATTGTCTAGGTCTTCTTGTTATACAATTAAGAGACTGGTAGCTGGTGTTTATCTTTTCCCTTCAAGGCCTGGGGGTTAGTAGCTTTATAAATAATGGCAGTTCTGATCATAAATCTGACTGTATTTGCACCAAACATTAGAGTTAGCCTTCCTGCCTTAAATCTTGGTGCTCATTTTCCTTCCTTACTAATAAATGTCCTTTGTGGCATTTCAACCCCCCACCCCCCGCCCAAGAATAGGACACTTTAATCTACATTAAAAACCTGTTCAGGCCGGGCGCGGTGGCTCACGTCTGTAATTCCAGCACTTTGGGAGGCCAAGATGGGTGGATCACGAGGTCAGGAGATCGAGACCATCCTGGCTAACACGGTGAAACCCGTCTCTACTAAAAATACGAAAAATTAGCCAGGCGTGGTGGCGGGCACCTGTAATCCCAGCTACTTGGGAGGCTGAGGTAGGAGAATCACTTGAACCCAGGAGGTGGAGGTTGCAGTGAGCCAAGATTGCACCACTGCACTCCAGCCGGGGAGACAGAGCCCGACTCCATCTCAAAAAAACACAACAAACAAACAAAAAACCTGTTCGGGCAGATGTTTCTCCTCAATGATTTTCTTAATGGTGTCTGGGAATCTGTCTGCTGCTGTCTCTTGGTCAGCAGAAGCTGACTCTACTGTCATCTTGCCTTTTCTTTTTTTTTTTTTTTTTTTTGGAGATAGAGTTTCGCTCTTGTTCCCCAGGCTGGAGTGCAATGGCATAATCTTGGCTCACTGCAACCTCTACCTCCCGGGTTCAAGTGATTCTCCTGCCTCAGCCTCCTGAGTAGCTGGAATTACAGGTGCCCGCCACTGTGCCTGGCTAATTTTTTGCATTTTTAGTAGAGACAGGGTTTCACCATGTTGGGCATGCTCATCTCAAACTCCTGACCTCAGGTGATCCACCCACCTCAGCCTCCCAAAATGTTCGGATTACAGGCGTGAGCCATTGCGCCCGGCCATCTTGACATTTCCTAAGCCAAATCTCTTTCTGATATTATCAAACCATCCTCTGTTGGTATTAAACTTTCCAGCTTTAGATCCTCCACCTTCCTTTTGCTTTGAGTTGTCAGATAATGACTTCACCTTTTCTGGAACCACATTAGAGTCTATAGCTATGCCTTTCTATTGCAATCCCATACCCACATAAAAGCTGCGTTTTCAATACAAGATGAAGTTATTTCACAAAAAGTGCAAGGTTTTCAAGCCTGATGGCATAGTTGCAGTAACAGTGTCTCAAATTTCCTTTTCACAGTGGTCCTTACACTGGATTCATTTATCTTGAAACAGTGAGCAACCGCAGCTGCAGACCTCAATCTACAGTACATATCAGGCAATTCAACTTTCTCTCTTAATGTCATGACTTTTGTCTGCTTCTTAGGATCCAGCATCACTAGTGGCACTTCATATGATTCTCATGGTGTTATTCAGGGTTATGGTGTTGCACTAAACATGATGAAAAATATGTGAGAACCACCAGAGACATCTTTTTACTGGGATAGGCAAGTTACTGGAGAGATAAACTGCTCATGAGCATCATATAGTGTTTTAAGCAGATACAACATCATAGAGTGTTTTAAGCAGATATAACACTTGAGCTTACCAAAATAGCAACAGGAGGTGGCCATGAAATTATTACAGTAATACGGTATATACTACCGTTAATTTTATGTAGTTATGATTTAACACTGCATCTTTATGTTTGTTTACATTTCTCTTGACTGTGGATGGTCTGGAAATGTTTGTCTGTGTAAGTTTTAGTACATTTTAACTTTTTATAATAGATTTGTGTATATTTTATGGTAGTAAATGATAAAATACACTAGTATCTACATATATTTTATGCACTCATGACATACTTGTGTATTGAAAAAAATCCGTGTATAAGTAGACATACACAGTTCAAATTCACGTTGTTCAAGAGTCAATTGTATATTTCTACCTCTAGCTCACATTTTTTCTCTGAGCTTGAGACCCATTTATCCAACTGTCTACTTTATCTCTCCAGTTGAGTATCTCTAAGAAATCCTACAATAATCATATCCAAATGCAAACTCAATCTCCACCCACAGCTCTACCTGTGAAATATGCCCTTCTTCAAGTATCCCTATTATCTGCAAGTGGAAGCATCACTTTCTCAACTGTAACATCCAGAAATGTAGACGTTATCCCTGTTGCCTCTTTCTCCATCCTTAGCATCTGATCCATCCTGTTGACTTTATCTTTTTGAATATTTCCTGAATGTATCCTCTTTTCTAATACCCATGTTTACTCTAATCCAAGCTTCTATCACACTTACCCAAACTAATACAGGTATCTTCTAACAGTCTTTCTGCATCCATGAGTGCTCCTTTTCCAATTCATCCTCCATGCATTTTCTCAAAAACAAATCTGATCACATCTCTCTGCTTCAAGCCTTTAATACCTTCTCAGTGCTTTTAGGATAAAACAAGATTCCTTAATAAAGTCCAGAAGGTCTTGGATAGGACATCCATTGCCTAACTTCACAGATTAATCTCTCATCAAACTCTGCATCACTCTCCACATTTTAGCAAGGCTAGTTTTCTTTTAGGTCTTTGAGCATACCATGATCCCCGGCCCCGTTGGGCCTTTACACACAGTATTGCCTCCGCTTACTATGCCAACACCACCACCCCACCACCATCACCACTCATCTCTTTATACTGCTTAATGCCTGCTCCGTCTTCAGACGGCGTCTCAAGAAACATCTCCTCAAAGAAGCCTTCTCTGACTCCTTTAACTAGATGAGCTTCTCCTCATACACATTTATGACTGCACATATTACTTACTATTTCTAAATACACATTTATTTTTGTGATTAATTTGTGCTCAATGCCTGTCAATCCAAAACGACCTTAAGCTCAACGGAGGAAAAGACTGTGTCTGGTTCGCTCTATTCTATCGCTGGTCCCCAGGAAAAGAGACACTCAAATATTTTTTCAACGAATCAATCAACATAGGAGCGACACTGGAAGCCGTCCAATCGAGCAGTAGTAGTGCATAAGAATGGGACTTGGAAAGCTAAAAGGGACCAGAATAACCCTAGGAAAATATTAACGTTTAGGAATCAAACAGAGGAAAATTTTTTTAAGCCGTCAAAAAGTTTAAAAAAAAAAAAAAAAAAGCAAAAAAGGAAATAGCATCACTAGAGCCATGGAAGGATATCATTCCAAACAGACCAGGCCACTGAAGTTGACAAGTAGGTAGTATCTAGTGATCTGACAAAATTAATAATGTAAGACGCAGAGAAGGGGAAAATATATGGGGAGACCTCCATCTTTCCAGTGCCTCTGTAAGTACGATTATAACTTTGTTGATAAACTACCATGACGACCCGAATCAAACAATAAATCTAAATAAATATGTGTGCCATTTTAGATTTCAATATTATTCCTCTCTATCTGCAAGAGTCATTTTCAGCTGACGGCATATATAACGTTTAAGGATAAATGTTTTAACATTTGCACCTGAAACGTTGTTTCTCAAAGAACCTTACCTCCCAGAATCATCAAAACAGACCTCCGTGTGTCCCTCTGTATGTCCATATCTCATTGGCTTCCGTGTGGCCGGCATCTTTTCCTTTATCTACCTGAAAATGTTTTATAAAAGCCAGTTTTATTATTACAAATGAGAGAAAAGCAGCGAGGCTGGGGATAGGAAGAGAGGTTAGTCTCCTCCAGAGCACGTTCTCCGCAGCCCGGTTTCCCCCACCCGAGTGACAGCAGCAGGATAAGGCGCAGGGTCTGTCAGACAACAAGCAGGAGAGGGAACACGCACCTCCTCGGTGGGCGCGGGCAGCCAGAGTGCGGACTCACCCGGGTGACCGAACCTCCGCGACTGAGGCTCCGCAAGAGCAGCTTCCCGCGCTTCGGCTCGCTCACCACACTGCGCCTGCGTCGACCCGCCCACGCCCGGCGCGGGTCCCGACAGAGGTCGCGGGGTGGTGGCGTCAGCGGCGGCGCCCTCCGCGTGGAAATTAGCCGGTTGCCCGGGCAAGTGAGGGAGGAAGGGAGGGAGCTGAACACGGAAGTGGTGGCGGCGCCCAGGGAACCGGCGGAGGCGTAGACCGTGACGGCTGGGATGGGACCGGAACGCCGAAGCGGGATTGGGGGTGGCAGAAAAGCATCTGCTTTGTAAGACCTACACGAGGTGCAGGACTGGTTGGGCCTCCCTTCTCCACTTAAGCAAGCGCCCAGAGTGATGGCGATGGTGATGGCAGCAGTTACTCGGACAACCCCATTTAAGCTGTGCTGCGGAAGGTGAGTGGGGGAAGGGTGACCGCTGCCTGGCCTCGCAGGCGGGGGTCTTTTTCCTGCCCTCCAGGCTCTCCTCTCAGGAAACAATATCCGGATCCCTAAAAGGATCCGATCTCTTTTTGGGGCCCAGTTAGCAGACAGATCTTTGAGCATCTTCTCTAGAAAAGAAGGCGAGATCTTTAAGAGCCTCTAATCTTGGCATCCTTCGTGCCCTCACCTTGTCGCTTCTGTAGAGATAAAGGAGGAATGACTTAATTTCTGTTCCGGTTGGTTCTCTTGGTCCCTGGAGGTATGGGGTATAAATTAATGCTTATTCTTTGCGACTCTATCTATACATCCCTTATGAAGAAAGTAACTTATATTCTCTATTCAGATCCCACCTAAAGTTTACCGAAGTGAATGTTTACAACCAAAAGAAGAGTTACAACTTAACAGCCTTGAGTACTTACATTTGATCCATGCAACATCCGCTAAAGTCTTGGCCACTAAGTTTAAGTTTATGCTTTTCTTGTATCTTCACATTCTTCATATTGGTACACCAGCCTCTGATGAAAACCTTCAGAATGATATTCTTTCTTTTTTACTTATCTTTGAGAATTTTTCTGCGTTTTTGTGATACCTTCCAGTATCAATCACGTTTATTTTGTTACCTGAGACGTTTTTCTGTTGAAGAGGTTTCCCTATTGTTTTTTCAATCTAGTTCCATTGTGAAAAGTTGCAAGAACACAAGCAAACCGTCGTGTTCTTACCGTGGGTGGCATTGTGTGAGGCGTTGTTTTTAGTACTAGAGCTCCAGATAGCCTTGCTAGACGCTGAGGTTTGTATATGAATGGAGATGAAGAATGATTGGCTTAAAAACAACTTGGGATTTGTGGAAAAATAACCCACTCTTGATCTCCCGAAAGAGAAGTGGTACCTGAGATGATGCTTTCTGAATGACCTAATTTTTTTGGAGATCATTTGTTTTTTCAATAGACTGACTGATAAATTTTTTTGTTCAAGTAACTTAATATCATCCGCTAGAATACATAGAGTTCAAGATGAACTCTCATAATATTCGTCTCTATGTTGAATAAAGCGTGGTGAGATTTCTGGTTAATACTATTCAGAGCTCAGCATAAGAAGAATCTGCAAATTGGAACAAGTTATAGCTACAAAATGCCTTCACTATAATATCTATAATACCTATGTGACTTTAAGACTATGATTGGTGTCCACACATCTGTCTTTTTCTCTTACCAATCAAGTCGTTTGATTCATGGGTTAAAGAACAATTTTCATTGCAGATTTCGCATGTATGGTAAAAGCTTGAGCCTCCGACTTCAACAGTCCTGGGTTTTAATTCTAACTGACAGATTGTATGACCTTGAATATGTTCCTTTACTGAAAATCGAATTCCTCATCTCTAAAATGGAGATGACACCTACCTCCATCGCATTGTTAGAGTATATTGGAGATACTCATGGATATATAAAAGTAATTGTTATTAATGTCTCATGTTATTAAAAGGGTACTTTGGGTGGATATTTAGTGGTTTTTGTTTAAAGTGGGATTTGTTTAAATAATTATCCAGTAAATTTTTCAAATATTAAAAAATGTATTCTTGTTTTTGCTTGTATCATGTTTTCACAATTCCATTTGTTTCAGTCAAATGGCTACAAATTGTAATACCTTCAGTGAGTTTATGGTCTTGCTGAGGGAAATAGACATTCAAACAATATGGTCAAGATGATAGTGCAGTAATGAAAGATGTATAACTTAAATATTAGCAAAATTGGCTAGTTAGTTAAAATAACATAGTTTTTTAAAAAAGAAATCAGTGTAACTGTGTCACAGATATGAGTATCAAAAATTTTCCGAATGTAGTTATTTATCATTAACAGTGCTTATCCCATAGGTGTGGGTGGCTAAATGAACTGACTGAAAATGATGCCAAAGTCACAGATTCAATTGCAGTGACGGTTAGTTAGCTTTGCTGTGTTGTAACCACTCATACTACCCTTAAGCTCACACATATTTTTGCTCCCAAGGGCAATTGGGCGAGAAAACATGGGTACACTGCCATTCTACAGATGATGGTATTACTTATATAAAATCATGTGATCTTACAGGGTTTATCTAAGAGGATTTATCAGTATTGGCTTATGGAAGGAGTTTAAAAAACGATTTTCTAGTAAAATATGTACTTGGTGTAAAAATGATTAATCTTGTGAAAGGTAAGGCTAGAAGAGTGAAGTACTGAAAAAAGAAACATTGAAGGCACTTTAGAAATGTGAAGATTTGTATATTTCCAAATGTGTCCTGAAATTTACTAGCCTATTTCATAATTTGGGGATAAATAGTACTTGTCTGTAGGTATACTTAGTATGATATAAAAGGCAATACAGTAAAAGTCCCCCTCCTACTCATACTCCCAGCCACCCAATTCCCCTGACTAAACACAGCCAGTATTTGATTCTTGTATTACATTAACACTAGATCCTTACTACAGCAAGATGAGATAATCAGTGTTTTATAGATAGAAAAAGTAAGAAAAGTTGTAATTTATCTGGTGTTTATCTAGTCACACACCTGCGAAATGTCGGAGCTAGAAATAGAACCCAGGTCTTTCACCTAGTCCAAAGTAGTCTACCACACTGATTCTCCAAATCATAGCAGTTGCCACAAAACTTAGAATTTAGTAAAACATAAAGTCGAGTCACCTTTTACTAATTTGTACATAAAACTTGTTACCCAACCTTAAATGTAACCATATGTAATTGTTATAAGGCAGTGAAGAAAATATAATACAATCTTATAAAATCTTTGCTTGTTTCTATTTAAATCTATTTACTAAGTTAGCTTCTAAAAAACTACAATTTTTGTTTTAAAGAATTTAAAACTTTTTAAAAATAATATATTTAACATCAGGAATAATATAAAGTGCTTTGTGATATTTCAGAAATGGAAAAGCCTCCTTGACTTCAGATTTCTGAGGCACGTTTTTGTGCAGATTTTCTAGCCTTAACATGTAGCCTTTGTTTCCCCTCTCCTTTTTCTGAATTTTGCCACTTTCCCACCTCTCATTCTTAGAAATGTACTTCTTCTAACATGAAAAGTTCTGAGTAATACTAGGAAGCAGTTAATACTTGTTTTCCTTAAGTTCAGTGTATGTTATTTTCATACATTTTACTCCTGGCAGTAAAAACTTGAGGTAGCTGGCATTATCCAGATTTTACAGTGGGGAGAACTTAAGCTAAATTAGATTTGTTTTTTTTTTTTTCTTTTTTTTTTGAGATGGAGTCTTGCTCTGTCACCCAGGCTGGAGTGCAGTGGCGTGCCATCTCGGCTCACTGCAAGCTCTACCTCCCGGGTTCACGCCATTCTCCTGCCTCAGCCTCCCGAGTAGCTGGGACTACAGGTACCCGCCACCACGCCCAGCTAATTTTTTTATATTTTTTAGTAGAGACGGGGTTTCACCATGTTAGCCAGGATGGCGTGATCCGCCCGCCTCAGCCTTCCAAAGTGCTGGGATTACAGGCATGAACCACTGCGCCTGGCCAAAATTAGATTTTTTTAAACCAGGTAACATATGTAGTGAGTGGCAAAGTCTGAATTGTAGCCCACATTTGACAGTTTAGCAGCTCATGCTATTTCATCTTTACCATGTTTATTTTTAAATATGGTATAGAGAAAAACAGTATAGGTTGTTAATTTTTTACAGATCTTTAAAACTTTAAAATTTTCTTTATATGCTTAATTGGTCTCACAAGAAAAAAGAATTCAAGGAAATAGGCCAAAATGTCAAAATTGCTTGCTTTTAGGTAATGAAATTATAGCTTTTTCCCCTCCTTTTTAAACTTTTCTGAACGGTCCATGTATTACACAATGAGCATATATTGTTTTTATCATAACAAATTACAGATTGGAAGAAAAAAAAATCTGTTCAATCTAATTTATTCCATAAAATGGTTCAGTATTATATCTTAAATATTATGTTTCTTAAATTCTGTTAATCTTCCTTCTGCTTTTAGAAGTTCAGGTACTGCCAGCTCGTAGTTTTCTGCTTTCTTCACTGTAGATTAGCCTCTTCAGTGATGGGTTCCTAGACCTCTCTCCTTTAGCTAATAACCTTAGGGAATGTACACTCACGTTAACAGATTAGCCCATTAATGTTTCCCCAAACTTTCTTCCACAAAAGGCTTTGTGGCAAAGTAAACACAGGAAGCTATAGCTTATGCTTTATTCTTTTTCTATTCTATTTCTATTCTTTATTCTATTGCTTATTTATTTCTTTACTGAAGGATCTCCTGGGAACGTTTGCTAAATATGCACTGTAATCTTTGAGAGGAGAAGCATTTCCCAAACTTACTTGACAAGAGAACCTTTTTTTCTCCAGAATATGTGTTAACATCTTTCAGAACTAGTGTCCACAAGAGTATAGAGTGGGGAAAAGTGACATAAGGAAACTATAATTAGGAAAGCGTGGAAAAAGTGGGGAGAAAGGGTAAGGAGGGTGTAGTGCTACCAAATCAATGATTCTTTTTTAAAAAATTACCGTTAAGTCCCATGAGCCCTGGCTCAGTAGCATGAAAAAAGGAGCTACTTTAAAATATTTACTGGAAAATGAACCTGTATTGCTTCTGTAATGAGAAAAACATTTGTTTTTTAGGTCAGAGATTTTCCATACAGACAAACCTGTTTTCACATCTTTTTCTTAACATTCCAAGGAGTTCATCTGTTGTCTGCTCTCCAGTGACTTCCGTTTGTGGAGCCTAAGTGTTTCTACAGAATCCAACTCGAGTATCGCGGACTATGATCAGAATGCTTTCAAGGAGTTTTTGGGCACATGATGGCAGGTAAACTTTAGAATCATGAATTTGGTAGGGAAAGTCCCCAGGCTTAATTACTACCAGAATAATAATATATTTGTGAATTATTAATGTAGTATACTGAATTATTCTTTATAGGATCAAATTTATTTCAATTTAATATTTATATTAATTGTGGTCTTAGATGTATGTAAGCATTGTAGACATAAGTAGCTCAATGAATAATTAATGTATACAATAATGCTGTTATCCTACATCATAGAGGAAACTAATGAATTTCCAGATGAATGAAGCTTATCCTTTTAATTATTGGATTTTAATTGTTTTCTGTAGAAATTTTGAATTAAATTCACCTTCTCAGCCTTATTCAGTATTACTAAATGTTATTTAAATAGTTTGTAGTGAAAATTGACATAATGGGCACTTATTCTGTTATTGTTGTCATTGTAATTTGTGGTAGAGCCTGGGACCAAATAGTGGCAGAATCTGGGAACTTGTTTTCTTGAGAAGGCTTTTATATAAACTTACTTTTTAAACATTTGCTTTTTGCTCATCAAGAAATATGACTTTAAAAAAAAAAAAAAGATGTCATTCTGTACTCCCCAGGGCAATGTAACATAGCAGCCTTCATAAAAAATTAATTATTGAATCAAGAGCCAAAGCAGCCTTTTCCCAAGTGATTCTTTCACCTTCTTTTTAAAAAGCTTCTTTGTAGCTACAGTCAAAGATCTTTGATTTGTCAGCATCTTTCAAACTATCATCTTTGATTTCTGTGTCACATAAAATTGTTGGTAAAGCCACCTTATCATTTCCTCTGCTACCTCATTTATACAAAGTTTTTATAAAATTTTAAGAATTAGTGATAGGCTATCTGGAATAACTTGCTCAGATTCAGAACCTACACTTTTTTTTACATTCAGATTTTACATGTATGGACAAGATACCAAAGCACATTTTCAAAAAAACTCATCTTTAGTCTTCATAACAATAAAAATAAGTTTTCTTTCACCAAAATTAAGTGTTATTTTTATTGAAAGCAAAATGATTTTTTTTTTAGTATTTTAGAATTTTGGTTCAAAGAAGCTTCTGGAAGAGATTAGAAAATTCTCTTTATATATGTAAGGATAAAGATATGATAGTTTGATATACTTCTCTCATTTTTTTATAACACAATCAAATAATGGTGAAAGAAATTCTAAGTGTCTTTTTTCTAATAAGATTATCTCCATAGCACAGGGTTATTTTTTAAACAGTTACTTCCTCAGTAATTGTTAAGATGTTACCTATGCCAAAAAGTGAATGATTAAATGTATGTGTTTTAAAAAAATATATCTATCTGCTAAGTAGTTTCTGAGAGCCACTTGTTGTTTCAGTAATGGTTATGAAATTTAGAACACTTGTTATTTTGTAAAAGAAAAATGTGTAACTCCTCTTAAAAGTTCAACAACTTATTTAAGTACTTTGCCTTGAGATAATTAGCAAACCCTGCATGTTATAAAATTTCTATGGTCATGTCTCATTACAAAGTATTTTAAAGATTCTCTTATTTAAAATGATACAATCCACGAACTATTCTAGTAAGATATAAACAGTAAGGCCAGGCACGGTGGCTTGTGCCTGTAATCCCAACACTTTGGGAGGCCAAGGCAGGTGGATCACTTGAGGTCAAGGAGTTCGACACCAGCCTGACCAACATGGTGAAACCCTGTCTCTACTAAAAATATAAAAATTAGCCAGGAGTGGTGGCACATGTCAGTAATCCCAGCTACTCGGGAGGCTGAGGCAGGAGAATCACTTGAACCTGGGAGGCAGAGGTTGCAGTGAGCCGAGATCGCACCACTGCACTCCAGCCTGGGTGACAGTGAGACCCTGTCTCAAAAACAAGCAAACAAACAAAAAGATATAAACAGTACACCGAAAGTTAATAAAGAAATGGAGAGGGCTGGCTGCCATAACTTGTCAGCTTTTTGGAACTCCCATTCTTCTCTTAGGAACAGCACAGACAAATGACCATCTGACAATGCATGATGGTAACATTATCAACCATATTTAGTCCTAATATTAGTTTTTGTAATTTTAGACAAATATAAATTGAAAAATTTTCTTCCGACTTTGAAGACTAAAATATCTGATGACATTCTGTACCGTATATCGATGGGGCAAAAGATAACAATTTATAAAAGTAGGGCTTCTTGAGCATGAACTTACAGTTCTCTAGCAAAAGAATAGCCATGCGAAATTTATATGAAGCTCTAATTCTGAGAGAGATACAAAACAGTAACTAATCAGAAAATTTTCAGGCCGGGCACGGTGACTCACGCCTGTAATCCAGCCGAGGCAGGTGGATCACGAGGTCAGGAGTTCAAGACCAGCCTGGCCAAGATGGCGAAACCCCGTCTCTACTGAAAAAAACTACAAAAATTAGCCAGGCACGGTGGCAGTTGCCTGTAGTCCCAGCTACTCGGGAGGCTGAGGCAGGAGAATCACTTGCACCCAGATAGCAGAGGTTGTGCCACTGCACTCCAGCCTGGGCGACAGAGTGAGACTTCGTCTCAAAATATAAAAGATTTAAAAAAAAAAATTTCATTGCATTAACTATTTTTTTTTCCTTGAGATGGAGTCTTGCTCTGTCGCCCAGGCTGGAGTGCAATGGCGCAATCTTGGCTCACTGCAACTGCCGCCTCCCAGATTTAAGCCATTCTCCTGCCTTAGCCTCCCATGTAGCTGGGACTACAGGCGCACACCACCATGCCAACTAATTTTTTTATTTTTAGTAGAGACAGGGTTTTACCATGTTGGCCAGACTGGTCTCAAACTCCTGACCTCAAGTGATCCACCGATCTGGGCCTCCCAAAGTACTGGGATTACAGGCGTGAGCCACCGCGCGCGCCTGTCCTGCATTAGCTCTTTAAATACAAGTAAATGTGTGGAAAACTCAAGTAGGGCAGTGATATTTTTCACTTTATTTTATGGACATCTGCAGCATTAGCACACGTAAAAACAGTTAACCTAAAATCCAAACACACTTGATTGACTGGTACCTGTAACATACAAGTTGGTAAGCCTTGCCAAAGAAAACCAAACTAGCGTATAAAGTTGTTCTTTGGGGAAAGACATCGAATTGTTCTGTAATTTCATGGTCTATTGAGTTTCACCTGTATCTGACATATAGATCCTTTTTCACTTTGAAGCATTAGTTTTCCTCCTGAAAATTATATTTGCTCATGAAAATCTCTTTTCTTTGTAGTAACACTGCACTAGAAACAGAGATATTCTGTAATTTCTTCATTATGAAGAAAACTGTAAAGCCAATAAGACTGGCCACCATGCCTGGCCTAACAATCGTATTTTTAATTTCCAAAATTTATGCTTTAACAAAACAACATATGTAATCTTTGTTTCTTTTTAAAACAAAAAGAAAAAAAATGAACATATATATTAACATATATTGAGTACTTAACACATTTAGGACCTGAACTGAGTACATGCATTATTTTATTTAATCCCCAACAGCCCAATGAAATAGATAGCATTAGTACCTCCATTTTACATGTAAATGAACTGATGTTTCAAGGTTATATGGCTAGCACAAAACAGAAACTGGACTCAAACCATGTTTCTTTTTTTTTTTCCTTCCAGAAATATTTTAATAAAAATTGGCCATTTCCAAGAAACACCCACTGCATGCCCATCAATAAAAGAGAACCATAACAAAATAGAAAATTTACCATATGGCTATGATTTAAAGAAAAAAGACACAAACACATTAGCAAAATATTAAAGTCACATTCCTTCTTAGGGACTCAAACCGTGTTTCTAATGCCTGCCACCACTATGCTGTGGGAATGCATCCTTGCCATCCATATACATGTATAGAGATACTGAGAATGTTAAAGTGGTTACTGTTGGGTGGTGGGATTATGGATATATTTACTTTTTTCCTTATAACTTTATGCCTGGTTTGGGTTTTCCATGGTGAGCGTGAATTTTCCCTCTCAGAAAGACTTAGTGTCTCCTCTTTATCTCTAGGCTTCTAAAATTAGAATAATGTACTTTGATGCTGAGTGGGGTCTTTCAATATGGAGGTGCCTGTTCTTTAGTCCTGGGAAATTTTCTAATCTTTTTTTGTTTGTTTTTGTTTTTGAGACGAAAACACTCTTGTCCCCCAGGCTGGAGTGCAATGGCGTGATCTTGGCTCACTGCAACCTCCGCCTCCGGGGTTCAAGTGATTCTCCGGCCTCAGCACTTTGGGTAGCTGGGATTACAGGCGCCTGCCACCACGCCCAGCTAATTTTTATATTTTTAGTAGAGATGGGGTTTTACGATATTAGCCAGGCTGGTCTAGAACTGTGACCTCAGGTGATCCACCCACCTGGGCCTCCCAAAGTGCTGGGATTATAGGCGTGAGTTATCACACCTGGCCATTCCTGGGAAATTTTCTAATATAGTTTCTTTAATAATTTCTCCCGTCCATTTTGTTTTCTGTGAAATGCCTGTATTAATCTCTAATTTTCTTGTCTTTTCTGTCTAGTTAACCATTTTTTCCTATTTGCTGTATTAGTTCCTAAGCATACCCACCAACTTTTCTATTGCATATCTCATTTCAGGCTAGGTGCAGTGGCTCACACCTGAAATCCAAGCACTTTGGGAGCCAAGGTGGGCAGATCACTTGAGCCCAGGAGTTCGAGACCAGCCTAGGTAACATGGCAAGACCCCATCTCTATAAAAAAATACAAAAATTAGCCGAGCATGGTGGCATGCACCTGTAGTCCCAGCTACTTGGGACGCTGAGGCAGGAGGATCACTTGAGCCCTGGGAGACAGAGGTTGCAGTGAGCTGAGGTCATGCCACTGTACTTCAGCCTGGGTGACAAAGTGAGACCCTGTCTCAATTAAAAATATATATATATTTCAGCAATCTTTTTTTTTTTTTTTTTTTTTGAGATGGAGTCCCACTCTGTCGCCCAGGCTGGAGTGCAGTGGCATGATCTCGGCTCACCACAGCCTCCGCCACCTGGGTTCAAGTGA